CTTACTGGCAGCGAAGCTCTCGGGTATGGCAGTTCCTCCGACACGAGTTGCAATTTGGTATTTTGCTCCGGTCAACCTGTAGAGAAAAGGATGGTGGTCACAGTGGTATAAAAATTACATCGAACGGGAACCGGGAAGGGCCTCATCGGAGGAAAAAACTGAGGAAACCCGCGTGGCAGGGACGCTGACGTGGGAAGCCACGCGAGAAAGGGACACGTGGGCGATCTGCGTGCGTGCGATCGGACGCCCCAGATTCGTTTCCACGCGCACGGACGACCCAGATCAAAAGTGCGCATGGACGACCCAGATCTCATGCGTGTGGACGGTCCAGATTTGATCACGCACGATCGGCTTAGATTTATTTCCAATTTAATCGTGATCAGACGGTCCAGATTAAATCATGATGGACGGCTCAGATTAAAAGGGAAGGGTTATAAATAATCGCATCCACACCCAACCCCAAACCCTAGCCGCCAGAACCCTCATCGGAGAAGACGACCCAGCCACCGGAGGAACTAGCCGCCGCCACCCGCCGCTGCACCAGAGGATTTTTTGGCCGCCAAACGAGGTAAAATTTCTCTTTTTTGCTCGTTTTTCGATGCTGAACCACAGGCCGATTGGTCGAAAAATACCGCCGAAGTCCAGCAGCGCCGCTGCAGATTTCCTCAATTTTGGCCTCTGATGAGGCCCTTTTCGGTTCCCATTCGATGTAATTTTTATACCACTGTGACCACCGTCCTTTTCTCTACAGGTTGACCGGAGCAAAACACCAAATTGTAACTTGTGCTGGAGGAACCGCCGTACCTGAGAGTTTCGCCGCTGGTAAGTCTCGATTTTCTTGAATTTTTTGGCTAACCAAGGGCCCTAGAGGTATTTTATCACAGGAACCAATGCAAGTTTGGCCGAATTCGGCCAAAGACAACCGAAAACGGCCAACCCGAGGCAGATCGCCGCCGTGGGCGGCGATGCCGTCGCCAGAGCACGGCGGAGCTGCCGTGCCGGAATTCTGAAATTGGCTAAAAGGGCCCCGTGTCTGATTTGGAGTTTTTTGAGGACATGTGCAGGTACCAGAAGTGTGTTTCAATTTCTGAAAAAAAAAATTCAAGAAATCTAGGGACTACCCGTAAGCGCAATAAAAATCCGATTTCAGACTCCAAAACAAGTAAGGATATTTCACCCTATTTTCTATCACGGCATTAAAGCTTAATAAATGATTAAACAGTATTTTAAGAATTTATAGATATGTATAATTAATTAAGATTGTTAAAGTGGCCCGAACCTAATGTATTTGTCGGTCTGTTTCTGTTTGATGTATTTTACAGTCTAAATGCAGTATAGTATCTGATTGTTTATTCTGTGGTTCTGTGTGCATGAATAACTGTTTAATCTATTATGGTTTGAATTATTGTGAACTCGATGTTGTGTTGCCTTGTTTGGTGTGCGTTGCTGGTTTATGTATTTATGTTGATTGGGTAATTGAGACTAAGAAAAATAAGGATGGTATGTGAAATTATAAGTGGATAAGTCGACAGCCTCACTAGATATCCTGAGAGATAGTGGACGGACCAGGTCCATAGAGAACCCTACCGGAAACGTGGTCTCTCATATCGGACAGGGTATGGAGACTTTATGTGTTTTGGCGCCCATAACGGATGAGGTATGGGGACGACCCGTTTCACCCTCATACCGGACGGGGTATTGAGGTTTATGGTTTTGGCGCCCATACCGGATGGGGTATGGGGACGGTCCTGGAATTAAGTTATTAATGTGAATGGTTCACGTGTAGCGGAGACCCCATATGGATCCCCATGGATACTACTAGACTGATAAAAAAGAAAATTTGTTGCCTGATGATTGAAATACAAAAGCATAATATGTGTTATGTTACAGAGTGTGTGTGATCTTATGATATTTATGATGTAATTATTTTCATGAATCTCACTCAGTTAAGTAGACAGTAAAAGTTTTTATTATTGATAAATGAGTTTGTTATAAATTATGCTTCATTGGTCGTTTTTTGTTTTCACCAACCTTTACTTCTGTGACAGTGAGATAGTGTGATGTTTTTACTGGGCTAGTGTAGCTCATTTCTTACTTAACCATTTTAGATCAGGAGGACTTGGTTCTTGAGTCCGTTCTATAGGAAGACGACGAGTAAAAGCATAAGAATTTATTAGTTTTTCCTATAGTATTCATTCATAGTATTTTCTTTAGTTAGCTTATTTTTTCATACGTTTAATTCGTTTTGATTATTGTGTAAGGGATATTAATCATAATCTATTTTATTTCGTTTATGCACTTAAAATAAATTTATACATTTTCATTTTATTTCCAGGGCCGTTACAAACAATTTTTTATGCATCCTATGATATAAAAATAAAGAACATATCTTATTAGTCTTGCATATTTGTGAATTAGACATCATCAACTAAGATACCATTGTAACATCAACATTAAGTGGCATTAGAATCGAAACTTTCATGGCTACTGTATAGGTAGCCATTTGTCTTCCCAAATATATACCTTATTCCTATTATCTATTCGCTAATGCAAATGTTCCTGCAACTATTCTCTATCAACAGGGATGTTACGCCAAGTATAGCTTGACCAGAGTCTTAGTGGAAGCATGCATAAATTCACCATCCTTGAAGCATGCATATATGTCTAGTTTATATGTTATGAAAATGCTTTTCACATTCAATTACATGTATTGCATACAAGACATTATTATAACCCTGTAAAATTACATGTAGTGCATATAAGATTATTATAGTCATGTAAATATTATTTTCAAGGTAATTAATACACTTATATGTTGCTTCTCTATGAATGTTGAAAATTCAACATTTATTATAACAATAAATATCCAACAAATTATGGAACAAGAATATGATCACAATAATTATGATAATAAGATATATCATCTGTAAATATAATTTTATGAAATTACTAGTTTTATGGTCATTTATATCACTCAAATTGAGTAAATCAGAATACATTATATTATAATAATATTATATAGGCTTATTACATAAACAAACTCAATATAATAATTTGAGAATTAAATTCTTATGTGAAATATTTATTACATTCAAATTAGAATTTATACAATAATAATTATATAAAATTATTTTTTAGACTTAGTTTTACAATATATATCTTATATAAGGTTAGTAAGATATAGAGAATTTTTTTATGTGCTCTAGTCAAATTTTTAGTTAAGTATAATTTAAATTTTTAAAATTTATATGATTGATGATTAAAATCACAAGATATATAATTAATATTTTATAATTGTATTTTTAGATTGTCATAAAAATTCGTGATCATCTTATGATAAAAAAAAAGTTCCTCAATGACATTTATTTTAAAGATGTACCTTATATGATTTTACAGTTATGTTTAATTTAAACTCATTCTCGAAAATAATAAATTGAGTGAGCGTATTTAGAAATTAAACTAATGTATATATACTCAAGATTAACTTAAATGTTTCTTGGAGTTATAACACATTGCTAGATGTCAAAATAAAATTAGATCATGCTCTTAATAACAAATTTTAAAGTATGTAAGAACAAACTAACTCTTAAATTTTTTTGTATATAAAATTAGATTTTAAATAAATTTCAAATAGAACATAAATAATATATTCTAAATTTATTAAAAATTTGAAAGAGATATTCTAAATGTAAAATTACTTACAATATTTTAAAATGAAAAGAGTTTTACAAAGTTCAAATTTTCTTTTAAAATGATTTTTATTGAAATTTAATAAAATTAAGTAAGCCATTCAAACCATTATAAGATTTATATATACAAAGTGAGTAGTTATTAAATTGATTGATGAAATCTAATGATAAGTTATATGACTTTTTTTTTTTAAGAAAAAAAATTTATCAAAAACTTAAATATTTAAAAAATTTATATTACAGACAAGAAAACTGTTAAATATTATATTCTTATAATAAATAAAACCAAATTATTTAAGTAGTTAATCAAACTAAATTTTAATTAAATTCAAGTTTTGCACAAAATTAAATTAATAATACGATTTACTATAATTTTTTTTAAAAAATTTCTCACAGTTTATGATGATTAATTGATTCATAAAAATACTTTTTATTCAAGTATCTAGTTAGATTTAGTTTTAATTAAATTTAAGTGTTTCACTAAAATTAAATTAATAATATGATTTACCATAGATTTTTTAAAATTTCTCACAATTTATGATAATTAATTCATTCATAAACATACAATTTGTTACTAAATTGAATTAATCTTAAAATTTGTACGTTGATTTGTAAAATTTTAATAACAATTATACAATCTAATCACAATGGTAATTATATAAATTATTAGCTAATTAGGCATGAAGTGATGTCGGAAGCCCGGACCAAAAATATTGAAGTGAGGCAAGTTGGTGAAAAATCAAAAAAGACCAAGCTGTCATTGCGGCTCCAAATCCAGCACGTGTGACTTACTTGCCGCGTCACGTGACGGTGAAAAGTCAATCGCGACACGTGGTAGATAACTTTCTTCTTTCCACGTTATCTTCTTCAACACTCGCTCCTTTGAAACGGCCACGTGTCCTCAAACTCGAGGGACGTGCAAATACCAGCGAGTATATTTAAATTATCTACTCTAGAGAGTACCCTTAACAATTCAATATTGCAATTATTGCATTTCTGTAATATGTTCTAGATGAATGTAATTAAATCTTGAGGATCTATGCGGGAGAGACGTAGACTTATTTCAGCCGCTAGATCTAATCAGATGGTGGATGTATGAATCCGTTAGATGTCATCACGTACACAAAATGAACGGTTCAGATTGGTTTAATAGCGGCGGGCAACGAGGGCATTGGGTCTATAAGTACGGACGCAAAACGATATACCCCAGCGACCTG